TAATGTAAGACAAGCAAAATCATGTGCCTGACATTGCCAAGAAATTAAGGCGAAAGTAATTCAGGCATTGGGCTTGAAAGAAGACTATCTACTCCAGTTTGATAGTTATAACTTATTGTATTATCTATAGAGAACAATTATCAGTGACATCAAAGTGTTAAGTGTGGCCAAATACAGGAGAATGAGATTGAGGTGAGAGAAAATTTCTAGTTTGTCAGTTATATACTTGCATATCATTTGCAATTTTTATGAGTATGCATTTTTTATGAGATTTTTAACAGTGACCCAATTAACTGTTTCTGCTTATGTGACAGTTAGCCATTTTACAATATTCATTCATTCGTTCATTCATTCATTGAATAAACACCAAATGTCTACTAGATGCCGGATACTAGATACTGAAGACACATAGGATTTAGTAGTCTCGTGGTCAGTAATGCAGGCAAACAATTATGGAATGAGGTAGGTACTCTACAGTTGATGGGATTTTAATTAGATCAAGAAATACTGTCCCAACTCTGCTTTTAGCCATGGGTTTAGAGGCTTTATATGACTGGGGGTGGGGGTGGCATAAGAGTTAAAGCATTTCTGAATGGCCTAAGGATTTACAATCCTCTTCTTTATGAATATTACCAGAAGCATGCCCAGTACCTGGAAGATACAGGGCTGATTCTACATGTCGACATGACTTTGTGAAGATAGCAGTTTTTTTCGAATCCTGGTTTCTCATGGTAAAATGGTTGTTTGTCAGTTGCCGGAGGGCTAAATTTCAAGGCTGTCATTTGGGTGCTTTTCTCTGTTCCATGGCTACAGGCCATATCCTCCTCAATATCAGTCACTGTCTTCCCATTTTGAAAAAGGCCTAAGGGGTAAGAGAGGCTGACTTGGTGCAGATTCATTGTTTATTTTCTAGAATCTTTGGAAATGAAAATACCAAGTAGCCCAGTAATGACCAGGATTGAAATTATTCATTCTACATCCAGGGGGAAGTCATATTGCCTTTGTAATATAAAAGAAAACATAATTATTATCATAAGCTTGTGCTGTCTTTAGATTCAGAAAAAGAATTGGTAGGTGTATACTTTCCTTTCTGCTTGAGCTTAAGACAAAGTTGTTTTTTAAAAAAATTAATTAACAGGTTGTAAAAAGTAGCTATTTTCAGGACCATATGGTTCTTTAGCACCACATGGTGCGCCTGTACCAGACACCTCGTCCTTAAGTCCTGTGTTCCTGCCTGTTTAAAATTTGAATGATTGCCTCCCTTTCCCCTACTCTAGTACGTTCAGGGTAGTTTAATCCTTCCTGGCACACTATGTCCTTCAATACCTTCTTTATAAGCATGCCTGATTTCAGAATCGTTCTGTAATTGGGAGTCAGCCTCACTGGGCAAGTGCATGTCTTAAACCCTTCACAGTGGCCTACCAGCCCAATTAAACTACAGAAATATAAAAGCAATTAGTTGAGAGCATTTGCAAAATACATGCATGTTAGGAATTTGTGTAGTTACAGAGACTTTGCCACTCAGATCTAATTGCTTGGATGTGCTGATTTTACCAATAAAAAAAAAAATCAAAGAAAATTCTGCATATTCCATGACTCAGTCTATTCTTGGCTGAGACCCTGAGGCCTCTATAGGGTGAAAGAATTTGTTTATAATCAGTTTCTGTATTGGGGAAGGAAATTTCTGGCCCCCCCCCCCCGCACCCCTTGCAAACTGATGGACACCAACAAGGAGAATAATAAGCAGTAAAGCGAACTTCCATCTTCATTGAAATTAGGACACATTCACAACTAGACTCATATTAGTGTGTTTGCAAAAGGGCTTTCAGGTTAGTGAAAACTGTACCAATGTGAAGATACGCTTAAAAAGAAGGCCGAGGGCTTCAAATTTCATGGGCAGACTAGACATAATTCAGAATTCTTCAAAATAGATGTCACAGCCTTCACTTGAAACAACATCAGGGTGCATAGGCTGACAGCAACATGCTGTGACCTCAGACGACTGAGCAAACATGTAAAAAACATAGATACACCATCTTAGAAGACTATAGGTGGTAGGTGGAGGATAAATTGGGGGGAACAAATAGCCCTTCAGGTTCTATATCTGCTAAAGAAGAGTGAAGACGTCACCACGCACTAAAAACCTCTACTAAGTGATTTCACTGGGAGCGTGTAGCCCATTGTCTCATTACGTAGAATGAGACGTATACACACATGCACACACATAATGGCAAGGAAGGGAAGGACAGAGATAGAACTACATATAATGACTTACAGAAATTTCCAAGGGATATTGCTAAGTGAGAAGAAGTTGAAGGTGATATGTAAATAGACTCATTCTATTTGTATAGAAACAATAAACCTCTCACATTCTTCTATGTTTACATGTGGTAGTAACAATAACGATTTCAGGGGTGTGGTACTGGAAAGAGCTAGGGTCAACGATGTGAGGAGAAAGGTGTGTGTATGTGTGTGTGTGTGTGTATACGGTTGGTTGCCGACTTACCACGGTTTACTTATGATCTTTTTACTTTGCCATGATGTCAAAGCGGTATACACTCAGTAGAAACGCTACTTTAAATTTTGAATTTAATCTTTTTCTGGTCTGGTGGTAAGATACTCGTGACATTAGGCAGTGGCAGTGAGCCGCAGCTCCTGGTGAGCCACATGATCTCAAGAGTAAACAACTGATACTATAAAGTGTACTGTGTTGCCAGCATTTTTTGGATATTGTATTTGGTGTTTTTACATCTCATGTCTACAAAATGCCTATCTGTGTCTCCTGCTTCTGATGCGAAAAAGATGAAGGCAAATACTCTTTAGATAAAACTAAAGATAATTACCCAGCTGTAGGCTAATGTAACAGTGTTCTGAGCACATTTAAGGTAGACTAGACTAAGCTATGATGTTTGGTAGGTTAAGTATATTAAATGCATTTTCAACTTATAATATTTTCAACTTATGATGAGTTGAAAATATCATCATTTTTAAATTATAAATTGATACTACTTTTTATAATTTGAAAAAGAAAAATGCTTAAAAAAAACAGGGCAGTAATTGTTTTCCTTGAATAAAAGAGCTCAGACAAGAGCTAAGAGCTACAAACATCCAAGAAATAGTAATGGCAACAGACAGAATTTGAAAATTAGTTCATCAGAGGGGCATACTAGAAACAGCAAGAAATTCTCTTAGATTCTTAAAAATAAAACAAAATAGAAAAATGCAAAGAATTAAAAAGAGAAAAAAAAGAAAAATAAGACCCATAGCAGATAAAGAACATATGAATAATTAGCATATCTGACACACTAAGCCAAAGGCTTTTATGAAGGCCAACACAAGAACATAAAGAATAGAAGGAAAAGACATATAAATATGTTTTCATAAAATAAAATCCATATATTAAAGGGGCACATTGAGTTCCAAGAAACGTTTGATACAAATGACCAATAACTAGAAGTATTCTGGTATGTTATATATATCTCAGAGATAAAAGATCCTTTGGGCATTTAGCTTGCTCCCTCACCACCCCCACCACCCCCACCACCACCACACACACACACACACACACACACACACACACACACACACGAAAGTGAACTATTTACACACAGATTTTTAAAAATTCCTCTTGCATATGCACAAAAAGGAAAATATAAATTTAAGGTATTTCAAAACCTTTTCCCATTCTTCCATGTGAATCACAATTTGTGTTTGTGCTTTCTCAACAAACTGGCCTTTATGGTATGAAGAGCTTTGGTGTTGAGCATTTCATTAAAGAGCACCCCACCATTGTCTCTAGAAGTTTCTTCTGAGACACATTAAGTCTCAGAACCCATTAAGGAAGCAAGTTTGATGATGATGCTTTCCTGGTTAGTGGACGTATCAATGGAAGGTTTTCAGATCTCTACCAGGACTTATTTTTCTTCCTCGAGTGGTCCTTACATGGCTTTTTGACTTAAGTGTAGTGTCAGTTTCCAGTCCTGTATCTAGGAATGTAACCAAATTTGCACATGAATAGGCTTATAGTTATCCACTATAACTGATTGACTCCTTGAAGGGAGACGTGAATATTATGCATCCATGTGGTCTATCATATTATTTCTTCAAAATATTCACTATCCCTCCCTATGACAGGATAGTTCATCCGTGGCCATTGACATTAGCCTTGCCACATGATTAGCTTTGGATAATGGAATATAGTAGAAGTGAAAGGTGCCCCTTCCTAGCAGAATTTTTAAGAGACATCATGTGGTCCTCACCTTTCTTTTCCCTCTCTCATAAGACGAACATGCCCCACGTAAGGCCTACTCCTTTAGCCTAGGTCCTGGAAATGAAGACAATGTGAAGTATGGCCAAAAATTGACCCTCAATAAACATATGTGAGTGAAAAATGAACTTGTAAGCCACTGAGAGTTTTGGCTTATTTGTTACTGCAGCACAGTTTAACTTAAGTTGACTGGTATAACTGTCCAACCACACAGGATTTAAAACCTAGTTTTGGGATAGTCTATGTACTCTCCTTAAGGACTCCTGATTCTTCAGGACTTCCTCAGGGCAGGCAATGAGGGAGTTCTTCATGTGAGAGTCAAGTTTAGGCTATTTCGGGTCAGCCAGGATGAACGCAGAATGTCCTCACCTAAGATGTTTTTAAAACAAGCCACTCTGGACCACTTAGAGATTTGCACTAAGTGGCTGTGGCTTAGTCATGGCACAGTTGTTGTGAGCTATCATTTATATCTGTATTCTGGTTAAATGCCCTGAAATTCTAAGGTTAGAAAACATTTTTGGGACACCATAGTAGTTCTCAGTAGGGAAGGGGCTGGGTTGGGGAGGAAGATTCTGTCGATCTGAAGGGTTCAGTTCTATTTTTCTTCTTTCCAATTAAAGCTGATTTCATGATGGAAATATCAATCCATGGAGAATAGCTTTTTTTTTTTCTTCTCCCCAACGCAGGAAAATCAGCACCTATACTTAGAGTTCTGTTGGAGAAGTGGCTGAACTCAGAATGCATTAGGAATCCAACTGCAGTTCAGTGTTGATGGACTCAACAACTGGCAGCAGTTTTTCAAAGAATACAAGCTGTGGTTTCCTCCTGGGATGACCTGGCCGGGACCGTTGACAACAGAGCTAGTGGAAAGTAGAATTACACAGTTAGTTGAGCTAGAAGATAGAAACAGTAGATGAGAAGATGACACATTAAAAATTAGCATAGGGCGGGAAGATGATTTACCCCCTCACATTCTGGTTAGAGAGAGTTAAGGACAGAGGCACTAGAGAATTAGTTTTGACCCTCAAATCCTATCTGGCCTTATTTCTCCAGAATAAGCAAAGGATCGAATCAGCCCTTGTAGAACACTTGTACATTAAGAAGGGCAGGTCAGGTGGGGATATTCATTATGTGACTGACTCTGTAGAATCAACAGAAACTGTACAGGGTGGGTGTGGCTGGCATGGATCACTGGTGGCCCCTCATCCACCATAGCCCATCACCATGTTGCCAGGACAGTCTGCATTGCTTGATCCCCTTGAAAGGGAGGCAGTACCTAGTAACTGATATGGGGTACTAGCTAAGGGCATGGACTCTATGGGCAGAAATTTTCTTAGGTCTTTCTGTCTTGATTGTGTGTGCACTCATTTTGCTTCAGTAAGTGACATAGCCTCTCCAAGCCCTGATTTTATCTAATGTTTAACAAAGCAAGAGTGTCTTACTTATACGGTGGTTGCAAAGTTTAAGTGAGCTAATTCATGCACAGCGACTAATACACAGCTGGGGACATGTTAAATGCTTGAGCAACACTGGCTAGTGTTATGACTCCTGGTCTTAGTGAAAAAAAGTCAAAATGAGAGGTGGTTAGAATTGCCACACACGTTCTTATATTTAAGTAAAGTAAGTGTTACAAAATTATAAAAATAAGTGGATGAGGGCTTTAATGGATATAAAGAAATTATAATTAAGAATACAATACCTGTTCAATAGACTCTGGCAACAAGATGCTACATTGGTTGTATTTCTAGGTAAACTGGAGTTGAAGGCATTCTCTAAAATGTGATGGCAGTTGATGTCTACAGGGGTGCCAGACAGTAGGCCTGGAAGTAGAACAGAGTACCAGTGATTTTATTAATTAACAAAGAGTTTCTCCACCATATTCCACACATTTTACTTTATAATATCCAATGGCAGCTCTGCCTCTCAGCTTTCTGCAGCAGTAGTTTGCTGTGTGTGCAGGTCGGATGCACTGCCCCACTGAAAGCTGCCATCCTGTGGGCACAGGGAGATAGGACGCAAAGGACAGGATACAGTACCTGCGATGCAGGCTGTCATGAAGCAGGCTATGGTCCCTGAAATCAGCGCTCTCACTGCCCCTGAAGTGATGTCACGCTTTCTGGAAGGAGCCATGGATGCTGGGAAACATGGAAGCAAGCATAAGAGATTACTATTGAGGCTATTAATTAATTCCAAATTCCTAGCCTCTGAGAGTTATTCTGGGGTTGGAGCATCAGCTAAGTTGACTTAAAAAAAAAACAAAAACCCAAAAACAAAAACAAAACTTAGCTGGGAAGTTCAAGGTTCAAGATCTTAGTGATGAGCTCCATATCCAGAGAAGTTCTCTGGTATGTGGGGAAGGAAAGAAGTTTGTCTGCACAAAGAAACAAGTCCTCAGTTTTATCCAAAAAGCTCCTAATATGTTGGGGGTATGGCAAGGCAAATGGGTTGCAAGGAAGGATTGTCAATATTTGCAACTCATCCATAACCATCTACTTTCTATGCCCACGGCAGACATAACAATTTAATCATAGCATTTTCCTACTGAACTTCCACTGGACCTCAGAATCCTTCTCCAGGTGGCCATTATAAATCTCCTGAAATTGGCATGCAAAGTGAAACCTATGTGTCATCTCTGGGTGGAGAAGAACCTGTTCATTTGAGGAAATTCTTCCTCAGGTTAGCTTGAGTATACACAGGAAACCCTCATTGTAGAGCAGGAATAAAAAAAAATCGACCCTAAGGGATTTACTGCTGTTGCAGGGCCCCTTTTTACCCCTCTGACATGAATAATATTAGAGCAAAGTGGAGATCTGAAGCATGTTTACATCACATCTGTTGTTGAATATTCTTTTCACTTACTGAGTGCGCCGATCGCTATTCCTAGGGAACTGATATTGGCAAAGCCACAGAGAGCATAAGTGGCAATTGTCTCAGAACGGATCTGTGAATAAGCAAAAACACACAGACATATACATGGGGTGACCCAGCTTATAAATCTGACATCCTAACTAGGCTTCCTATTGTGACTATGGAATTAATATTGACAAATAAATGTACAATGCATGGTGCCCAACACTCATTGCTTCCTGGACTCTTTTTCCCATCTCCCCTTGAATTTCAAGGGAAGGATAGGGGTTGTGTGGATTCGGAGATTCTCTGAATTGGGATTGGTTGTCTTGGCCTCTACAAATTGCTACTTTCTACACAATGATAACTTCTAATATTCAATAGGATCTGGCCACCCGTTCCAATGTGCCAGGCACAGTATTAGCTGCTGAAGATACAATATTGGTCCCAGAAAATATTCACATTACATTTATTTGACGAGAGACATTTGCAATGTATGAAGAACTGTTATAACTCAGTAGTAAGAAGATAAGTACCCAATAAAAAACAGATAAAGAGATTTCGCAGAAGACACATGAATGGCTAACAAGCACATGAGATGTTCAACATCATTAATCATCAGGGAAATGAAAATTAAAACAATGAGATACCACTACACATCCACTAAAATGGCTAAAAAGATGGACCATAGCAAGTGTTGGCAAGGATGTAGAGCAATTAACGCTATACATTGTGGTGGGAATGTAAGCTGACACAGCCTGTTTATAAAATACAAACATACTTGGCAGTTTCTTATCAAATTAACATACACTGCCTGTATGATCCAGCAACCACCCTCCTAGGAATTCTCCCAAGAGAAATAAAAACAAATGCCTACAAGAAAACTAGATGTGAATATTTATGAATATTTATTTATTCATAATAGCCCCAAGCTGGAAATAACTCAAATGTCCTTCAACAGGCAAATGGACATTGTGATAACCATAAAATAGAATACTGCTCTGTAATAAAAAGGAAAATAACTAATATATGCAATAACATGAATGCTAAGTAAATCCATTTATACAAAATTCTAGAACAAGAAAAAGTAACCTACAGTAAAAGATAGATCATTTGCTACCTGGATCTGGGGAGGGGGTTGTTGGCTACAATGAGACTTGAGGGAAATTTTCTGGGAGTGATGGAAATGTTCTATATCTTGATTGTGGTCGTTGTTACACAGGTGACGCATTTGTCAAAATTCGTGTACACCCAAAATAGGCCTTTTTGTATGAAATTATACTTCAGTAAAAAAGGTAAAATTTAAAAGGAGTTATCCTAGGAAAAAGGAAGCTCACAGATATCACAGTAGTTCCTCTCAGTCTGGCTGTGGTATATGCTGGCCTTTCTTTGTTCCTCAGCTCTGACTATCCCAAAGGAATATTAGGTTGCCTCTTAGAAGAGAATTAAGAGTCCTTCTCACAGGGCAGGGAGAAGATGGAAGGTGAACTTGTAAAACCATGAATATGGCCCTCTACATATATTCTCATAGTCAAGAGGCGTTGCTCAGGCCAGATAATTCTTCCTCTGGTTGAGGGAGTGACTGTAGGAGGCTCAGAGGATTCAGTGGACTTTGTTTTTCACCATAAGCATATCCAATCTGGTAAAGGCACCCACACAATTGAGGTAATAATTTTCTTCTCAAAATCCTGAAAAATCTATGATTTGGTTCAAAGAACAAACCAGGTCAATGCTACATTCAAAGTAGTGGTGCCTTTTTTTTTACTAACTGGTATTTTTAAAGCTCACATTCAAGACTCAAGTGGTCGTGGTAAGTTTTTATTGATTATAAGGCCCCTCTCCTTTTTCATGGTTTCTGAGAGCCCCTTTGTTGATTTTCAGTCAGTGTGCATATAGCAGGCAGGAAAAATATTTCAAGTATTCGAGCAGTCCACTGTTTCTGAAAAAGCTCGTTCTCATCCCCTGCTCTCTCTAGTGTGCTTCATTTAGTTCAATTGGTTCAAATCAGGCAAGCCTATTAAGAGACTGTGGGGAGGGAGATGGCATAAAGCACTTGAGATTCCTCTTTC